TCTTTTATTACTCAGTAAATGTTACATTTATCTTTATTAACTTTCAATACGTTGCTGTAAGTCACAGAGAAGGAAATAATTACAACCATCTTCAGATGTATTAGATTCAGACAAGAGTTTTTGCCCTTTTTTTTTTCTTCCTGGTCAGTTCTGACTTTCCCATCTGTTAAAACAGTGGCTTTCCTTATAAAGACAGTGGAATAAAAGCATAAAACCTGTGTCATTTATTATTATTATTATACGAATACTAATCTATAAAGAAATATGATATATTTTCCTTGCTATATATGACAAATAAATAAACCAATCAATAGTCTTCTAAGAGAACTTGACACTGATGCAATTGCCTCTTACTACACAGGGATATAAAAAGAGAAAATGCACATACCACTCTTCATCATCACAAACTTTCCACTGTTTCCTTAGAATTCATTAAAAATTTGTTGCTATAACATACAACTCCTCCTGGTATTAAGATGCAAAATACAAACAAGACCTTTCCCATGCTGCCTTCACTTGTATTCCTGTTTTCCTGTAAAGATTCGTATACACTGTAGATAGGCATTTTTGTAAATTCAACTTTTCAGTGAGGTTTATATTCAGAAGAACCTAATGGATTTTATTTGAACTTGTCAGGGATGTCTGGAAGTGTTAGTTTTTCAACACTGAACTAAGAACTCAAAGTAGCTTGTACATTCAAAGGAAGCTATGATCCTAATTTGAACTAAAGGGCTCAATTGAATAAAAATAGCTTATGCTCGAGTAACTCAAGTTATGTGTGGCTCCTTCCCCTCCCCCTTTCTGTGGAAGTCAGTCAGTTAGACATTTTTGTATTTTAATAACACAAAAGGGTTTGTCCTGGAAAGAAATAAGTGCCTGACTTACAGTAATTAGGGTCTGAGTTGCATCAGGTGCACAGTTTATAAAAAAAAAAACCACCCCAGCACTAACAGAAGACCTCCTAAAACTTAAGGAAGTTTTGAATTCAGTTTTTGATGCTACATAATGGATAAGAGAAAAGAAATTACCTTCTTTAGGGCTCACTCATTAGGACACAACAGCAGAAACAGCTGCCTCTAGACCTGCTTGCTTGTTAGTCTGGGGGAGTCTATTTGTAACCTGTCTCAGACTGAGCAAGAAGAACTGCAAACCAAATGACAGGAGCCAATGACCTCAGCTGTTGAAGATGTGGAGAAGATCTTAATCCCACTTTTTGGGCTCAAGATATTTTCTAATATCCTAGGAAATGACAATAGTGGGGATAGAAGGAATTGCATTTCACATGCCTGTTTGAAGTACTGTGGTACTACTGGGATTGTATAAAACAATGACACAGCATCCTCTAGAACTTGAATAAAAGTATGTGAAACCATGGCTGGTTCAGAGAATATAGACCTAGTGCTTCTGTTCTCTTTGTTCTATAAACACAAGGACAAAGAGTGATAATAAAGAGATGTAAACACAATAAAACGAATCCCTTTTTTTCCTCACTTTGCGTATTTAGGCTGTCAATATGCCATATCATATTATTTCACCAAAGTCAGGCTAAATCCAACAGAATAAACAGAAATCTGATGCTTATATGATACAAGGATCTCCAGCATTACAATAGTCAATTTGAATTACTGGGAAATAACAAGAGACACGGGTCTGAAGCAGTATAGTCCTCATTTGCTATCACAAAATTCTGTGTCTTCTGAATATTTAGACCCTGGCTCTTGCCAGAGATATGGTGCAGCAATATGTTGACTCTTCCCTGATACAATATAGCAATTCTCACCTTGTAGCATTGCTAATAATATCCTTCACCTTTAGTCATCATTGGGTTGTACTCATAGATTATTTTTTTAAATGAAACTACAAGAACTAGAGAGCAGAAAGTGTGTTTGTTTTTTTTTTTTTTCCTTTTCCTTTGGTTGTTTGTTGGGGTTTTTTTGTTTGGTTTTTTTTGGTTTTTTTTTTTGTTTGTTTTTTTTTGGGGTGGGTTGTGGTTTTTTTTTTTTTTTTTTTTTTTTTTTTTTTTTTTTAAGATGGATAACTACAAAGTTTTTCCAAAATAGAGCAAAGAACTGAGTAAATATCATCTAGCCCATTTTGCTCTCATGAAAACTGGTAAAGTTCTTCTGGTCATAGTGTCCATGGAAGACTCCCACAAGTCAACAAAGACTCTATTATTGACATAAAAATATACTCCTACCCACCCAGTAACACCCATCCCTATTAAAAGGGAAAGTGGGCGCCAGGATTTACTGCTGCCACCAGGCAGAGATTGCAGGCTTTTCTTTATTACTTTTGCAACTGTGAAAACATTTTTGATCCCTGATCTCGTTTCTGGAATGACACAGAATATTCTGTGGGTCTGTTGACAACAAAGTCTTTACAGGCACATGAAACAACCTCCTATCTGTATATTTTTTGAACATTAACATATACTCTGTGTATATACTTCTCTAGCAGAGCAGCTATTTATTTAATATATGAGGTATGAGCATACTTACTGCATGTTAATTCTGTGCAGTTTTTTACATCCTCCCCATATTTCTCAAGAGGAGTCATATACAAAGAATACATTATATACCTGAAATGGTCTCCTTCATTTTTTATCTGTGTCTTCTTTAAGCCATCATTCCAAGAAATTTGTGGTCTGAACTCCGGTAATGAATGCTCAGTGTATTAAAGAAGGGATCTGATTTGCCTTTGGTTTCAAAGTGTGCACAGTACTTTGATTAGGTCTCCACCAAGCCCTTGGCAAACTAGGGAAGGATAATCTACTCCAGTGTTCACAGTAATTCAAGATGTTCACTGCCCTCACAACATAATGGCGAGGTGTAGGATGGACCAGACTGACCCCCTCTCATTACTGAAACCTTCCAAGTAGGTATGTAGGTGTCTGTATCTCCACTTTTCCACCTCTCTGGAGCCAATCAGGAGTAGGCAAAATGAACAGCATTTATGATTTTGTGCCCCCTTTAAAGGCAAGAAACCGTCTATCTCATAATCTCCTTCTGACTCATACAATACTGAGTATTGAAAGAATATCCAGAGTTACCTGTGGTAGGGAGGAGATGAAAGTCAACAGTGTCCTGATCAGGAAATGAGCAGGTAGTATTAATCTTCAAGGCAGGTTACCCTTCCGGCTTCTCTGAATACGATCAGTTGACCTGAGGAAACCAGGAGGAGTGGTTAGAGGCACTGTACTGTAAAGTGGAAGAAGATGAAGATAAGTTAAACTACACAATTTGTATATTTGAGACAGTAAAAGACACTCTTCAAAGCTGGTCAATCAGAAGTTTGTTAATAGTCCAGAAAAATTATAGGTGCTCTCTAGAGAGTAAAAGTTATTGGAAAGGAGCTAGTCAACTGGAAAAAAAAGTTTAATGAGAAGCATTGTAAGGAAAAAGTAACTACAGAAAGAGAGAAGAGAGAAAATAAATTCTCAAAGTAGTGGAAACAACTGCAGAATTATAAATATCTGTGCAAAGTAAAGCACAAATTATGGGAGCAGGCCACATGGGTGACAATGAAAAACAAATGGAGGGCAACAAAACGATGCCTGCCTCATTTGGAGAATGATATTACTCTGTCAAAAAAAAGGCACAACTCTTTTCTTCAGACTTATATGAATTATAAGAAAATGTGTAATTCTGTCTCTGATTATTCCCTTCTGTGTTCATATACCCATTGCTCAGGGTCCTGAGCACCTCGTTAACCAGGATACATCACCATGGAAGCCCATCAGACACTGACCTGATGAGCACAAACCTCTTCTGGGTGCCTCGAGCCGCAGTCATACCATCAGCTGGGACTGACTCTTCCAGATTTCACCAAACAAAAAACATGGAGAATAACAGTAATGATAGCCAAACAAGGGAGTGCTAGCCAGGACCTAGTGCTAGCTCACCAAGGACATTAAGGCTCTCATGTTCTGCTTTGTTTGGAGTCTGGGTATTACAGCACACACACAAAAAGGACCAGATTCTTTTCTCTCTCTTTTCCCTGTCTGCCTGAGCATTGCTGGCATGTACACCTATAGGCTTAACTTCAGTCCTGCCTTCTCCAATCTTTGAAACAGCATGCTCTGAAGCACAACTTGTTATTAGTCAGATGGGGAAGAGATGGGACCAGATTCCCTAATTATTTCTAATGGCCTTTCCTGGTGAACTGCTCCCCTCCATAAATGGTAGGCTGTCATGAGGCTCATGTTGTATAGTATCAGACTGATAAATCACCCCAATTTTAGCTCATTTATTTTTTTTAATGGAAAGCTGCCAAAGCTGTCTTTTTAGATAATGTTGAAGTTAATTAATTATCACATTATATAGATTTATTTTTTTCTTAATAGAAAGTGTTTTCTCGTATTTTAAAGGGGAAAAAAATGCACCTCAGACTTGGAGCGCTAGAAGTTTTTGGGATGTATTCTGGTAGGAAAACTCAATAAGTCACTGCTTACTTTTGTGCCCCAAAAATTTGGTGTGTATAAGTTCAAAATGGGCCTGTGTTTCTTTCCAGTCAGGACTGCCTCCACACACAGGCCAGGGACAGTTACCTTCAAATAAAAACTCCTTTCCCTATCACTGTGCTTCATATAATGGAATATTGACCTCAATTAGCCTTGGTTTCTAATTGTACCTGACAGAGCAAAGACCCCTGGCGAGGAACAGTCCCATAACTACACATTTTAAAATGCAATATGGGCAAAATTCATACAAAATCCTTGCACAGGAAGAGGAAGCATAGATAACTAATTTTCTTCCCTACCAAAGAATACTTCAATAACTTGATTTCTTGGGGACTAATGAAAATTACAGGACCAGGGATGTTTTTTTCCCTACTTCATTCCTCTGTAAATACAGACTGAGTCATTAACAGGAGAAGGAACAGAGTGATCCCAGCAGTCTGCATCTTTAACACTGAACACTGTGTCTCTATCTCTCTGCTGCTCCTGGAGGCAGCTCTTAACAGCCACCTCTAGGATGATGTGGCTCAGAGACAACCAGCCTCATTGCTGAGCACTGTGATTTTTTTTTTCTACAACCAGGCAGATTGTTTAAACCACCACAGAGCAGGGGCAGAGCCTGCAAGAAGCTGAGGTAATCATTTTTGCATTAAATATCTGGCAAAGATGTGGGCTGTGGACAGGGAGAAGGGACACAGAGGGAGGGAGGAGGTGCAGAATAGAACAGTGAAAGATGAAGAAACAGTCTTTTAAAACAAATTCAGTGTTTCTTGGGAAGGTATGACACTGCAGCAATACTGGAGGCAGAGAAGGGAAGGCAGAAAGGCTGCACATCTGCATTCTACACATTTGGTTCTAATGTGCTCTTTTACCTTTATCTTTTTTTTGTTGCTTCTCCATCCGGCTGCAAAGTTTTGCAAAAGACTCCCACTAACAAAGGCAACTAAAAAGGGAGGGTACTGTGGTGGTGCATCTTATCTATGGACATTTTTTTTCGTATTTTGTTTTTCTGAGATGGGCTGCAAAGGAAATAAAACCCCATGTAATTTCTAGCAATGAGAAGTGAATCAGTTCTTTCGCTTAAAAAAAACCCCTACCTCATTTTCATATTTCCATATTTAATTCTTGCACTTGCATGTACATTTCTGTTATCTTCCAGCCACATGTTGCTATTTGTCTCTGTAGTGAAGGATTTTTTTTTTCTTTTCTTTTTTTTTTGACTGTGAGCTATGTGGAGTCTGACTTGCATGTAAAAGATCTACAGGGAAAAAATCCTCCAGTCCTCACTGAACTAAAGAGAGCTGGCATGCTGCACGTTTTGTGGGAGCACTCCATGCTCACCACTACCTCAGATAGCATGTCGCACAGGCATGCAGCACCACACACCTACTGACCAGTGTCACATGGCCAGTGCAAAGTCCCCCAGCAGATCAACAGGCGTGGGTGATGGGAGGCTGAGAAAAATTAGCAGCCACTAACTCTTCCAAGAATCCGCCAGATTTGGCCAACTAAACACTGTTTAACACTCAGCCAGCCACTATGTAACTTCCACAGAGTACAACTGCCAAAACTTGGGTAGAAGGAGAGCTCTGAAATTTATGAGACCATTCCAGGCAATCTCACTGCATTTAGACTGTTTTTTATTTAGTCACCCTTCAGCTATCTGACTTTCAATGAGACTCAGGCTCCTAAGATATTTGGGTGCTTTCGAAAAGGTTACATGCAGTCACCAGCAGGCAGCCAAGACTCCTGCATTCAGCTATAATTAGTGAGGCAGCTCATGGTTACAATACGTCTTAACCCAGAGGCAGCAGTGTTTGGACAGACATCATTTCTGCTGTGCTTGCTGGCAGACAAGATTTCAGACAGACTCTGGTTATGATTTAGTTTTGGTCTACATGTTCAGTGCTCAGTCAAACTTGTTGTGCAGCCAACACAGAGACTGCCTTCAACAGGAAAGGGAGCAAATGCAACGTTTTCTGTTCAAACAATATTTCGGTTGTTGTTCTGTCAGTGGACCACAGCCACGCATGAACTGCTCCCAGACTGCAGACAGTTCTGGTTTGTCCATGTAAAATGTGTTCAACGAATTTGTCCTGCAAGTTAGCAGAGGGGACATAGCACCAGTATCTCAGTGTTTCTTCTGGTGCCATCATGAGGCTGCCAAACCCACCAGTATTCCTGCTCTCTGGCAGGCATGTGCTGTCCTTGCAGCAGGAAAAAATGTTTAATAGAAGATTTTTTTCACCCCCAGTGGTGGAGCTGGAACTCAAAAAACACAACAGTGCACACTGTGTACTCACCTGGTGTGTATCTCCCTCCCATTTCACTCAGCTTTCTGTATCTCCATGTTTTCAAGTCTTCCCTTCCTGGCACCCAGTTGCCATCGTAGTCTTCAATGTTTGTGAAGTGACTGTTGATAATGCATGAAGATTACGATATCTCATACAGGAATTGCCAGGCTTTGAACTTAAATAGGCTACAAGTAAAATGAGTGTGAGACTCTGGAAAAATGTTTGAAAATTAAGGAAAAAACCCTTCTAAATGTGAACGTACCTTCAATTAATATTGAATTACCACTATAAATGTTAAATAGGATAAAGACCCCATATTACTATTTCTAAGGTAAAGGAAAAAAAATGCGAGTTGTTCTTTCTTTGAGGGGGAAGGGAAATGTTTGTGTGTCATTTGGAACTTTGAAGGTTTAACTAGCCTATTCCTATGAAAATCTTGAAATTCAGCCAAAGACGTCACAGTATTACACACTTTTCTCCTGCAACTCTATTCATATTCTATGGCAAATGTAGCATTTTCCTTCTGGAGCAGTTAGCATAAAAGTTCTTGGTTAAGAGAAGCTTTTCTCTTGGAAAAGATAATCTGCCTTCAAAGTTATAAGTTAAACAATTGAGTGGTCTAATTGATTGAACATTTACAAATTATAATTGAATTTGTGCCAAACTATGTGAAAAAGATTTATGTTCCGCTTCCCCAGACTGTTTATCCCTCATTTTTTTTGTGTGTGTGTGCATGTGTGAACTGAATCTTTGGGAACTCCTTTCACTTGATGCATCATTGAGGTGGTTAAACACATTGCATTATGGCAGTCTGTCACATCAGTGTTTCACACTGAAATACTAGACTTGACACATCACTGGAAAAGGAAGTCAGATGATCCAAAATTCAGAGTTATGTTTCTTTTGAAACTTGAGATTCTGAAGACATAATTTTCACTTGCTTAACTCCAATGGCAGGGGAAAAAAAAAAGAAAAGAAAAAGAGATCTAAGTAATTATAATGCAGCTTTTTAAGCATTACAAGAACTTGCATGAAAATAATAATGCCTTGATTATCCTGCTTGTGAGTGGAGACAGGCAGTACCCATATTTATTTTGGTGAACCTCTGTAAAGTAGTTATGTAAGGACAACAGAGAAGGAGACAGAATCTGACTCTCCAGCAAATAAAATGAAATGCATTGCCATGTTTCTACGCAACAGCACCTAGAATATGACAACTCTAAAGCCTGAACCCTTGATGTTGAGGAAATCTAGCCTATGAACAACCTTCTTAAGAGAATGTTTCTTTCAACAGGCATGTGACCTAATACTTACGTGAAGACCTGTAGCAGTTTTGGGGCTGTATCTTGTATTTCCAAAGGAAGAATTGCAAGTCCATTGAAATACAAAGCTTAACTTCTAGAGTTGTGCAGAATATCCCACAAAACAATGGTATCAACAACAAAGGTACAAAGTTTGAAGATTTTGTTTTCCTATGTATAAAACCCAAAACAACTAAAAAATCTTTTACCACGTCCTTCAACTTTACCTGTTTTCACATGGTAACCCTCCGCATTGCCCAAACAAGTCCACTGCACAAATGCAAGACTGTATGTGATCACCTTCGACTCTAACCAGAGCACCAGAATTTTTCTATGGAGATTTCATCACAAAAAAAGAGTCAAAATTATGAGCAACCATATTTCAATATTGTAGTGCAAAAGGGCAGGAATAGGACTGGAACTTTTTAACTTTTTAACAAGTGGATGAGTAATTATTATGGAAACAAGAGTGAAGATAAATTGCCAGAGTTTGGAGGAAAAAGATATGTTAGCTTAAAATTATATGCAAGTCTCAGTTATTTAGTGTTTGTATGTAACAATGGAGGATATGCAATACATTAAGTCTAACAATAAAAAGACAAAGTTTATAATACTATCAGAATGCTTGAAAATATGCCACACTATCGCACACACGCACTGCATGTATTGTTTCTATTATTTTCGTCTAAAGCTTTTTTGGAACTGAATTGATGCTTTTTAAGCACTTCAGGGTTAACAATAGGATTTGTTGAAATTTCTCAAATATTCTACATTTTGGCATGCTTTACAGAGCTCTTGTGCAGGGAATGAGAATATTAAAATAATCTTAAATTTTCTGTGGATTCTAAAGAATATCTGTTGCATGGCATCCTTGATCCAAATTGCATGCCAGTTTATTCTCTCCTTCCATCTCTGAATCATCTCTAATTGACTCTACCTCGCCATCGACGGTTTTCTTGTGAAAAAGTCCTGCCTCTTACGACGCCCACCTCAGAGCTTCTGAGTTTATAATATGCAATTCAAGGCCTCACGGGATTCTCTAAGATTTACACAGCTGTGGCAAACAGTTTCAAAATTAACCACCTGACCTTCCCCAAAATGCTCAAAGAGCTTGAATTCCTTATCGCAGACAAAAGAATAAAACACATTTGGAGGTCCTAGGGCCATGATGTTTTTTTTAGCTATCAGGCATAAAAAAACATCCCTCTGCTTTTCCAGAGGACTCCATTTCACCACTGACTTTTTTATCTGCTCTCCATGTTCTACTCCATCTTCCACCTCCACAAAAAAGCCTCTCTATTAGAAGGGCAATAAATGACCATTGAGGAAAGAGTGGTCACATTTACCCAGAAGCAAAAGAGGTGCTAAATTAACATCAAATTCACAGCTAAGACCTAGACTTAGACTTTGGTATGAGCAGAATATAGATTACAGTCTTTACTGAGCTCCCACAAAGTGGCACATATCTATTGTATCCTTCTAACTTCAGTGTAATTACCAACACACTATGGGATAAAGCCTAAACCTTTACAGTATTTTTTCTTTTTTGATTTATAATTAATTATTACAGTGAATACCTTAATTTACCTTCTATCTCATCTCAGGATTAATTTTCCATGAAAGAAACTCCTGTGAAAGAAACTAGTTTTTCCTCAGAAATTTAATTTCAAGATGGATGTTGAACTGAAGAGCAGAAAGACAAACACTTGGCACTCACCAAGGAGCAGCTCTAGGGCTGTTCTGGGTACATACCTCTCCCAAGAAGAGGAGAGGCTGGTGGGCACTCAGTATAGATCCTTGTCAGCTTAAACATGTTCCACGTAGGTTAAAATGCAGCAAATTCATACAGTGGGGCTTTGTCCCTTAGCAGGGACACAGTCCTTGTCCAACTCTAATCGGTTCAGTAAAATAGCACCGGTTTCTTTGCCAAATTGCCTTATAAGGCCACAGCAGGGTCTAGATTTATCCATTACCACAGGGTTTAATGACTTTAAGCACAACACTGAATTACACCTCCAATTGCTATTTCCATCTGATTA